GTAAGCAGCACTGCTGTTTCCAGAGTCTGACTTTATATCATTAGAATAAAGGGGGTTGTTGATGATGATGCAATTGTTGGAGCTCACCTCTCTTTATGCATGCTGTGAATGCCCAGTAATAGTTTCCTATCAAAGCTGATTTAACTCCAAAATATCTATATTCTCATGCATGTTCTCCCTGCTCAATAGTCTGGTAGGTTGTTCTCATATGACTCTGATAGCCACTGGCTGTTTAAAAAGATTATTTCTTGAAGGGCATTCAGTCTTTGTTCTGACATGCAGCTTCAGGAACGCTGATGATTAAACCAAGGCAGAGACCTAAAGGGGACATGTGGGATCCCGGGCAGGATTAGGGATGCCTTCCTCTGATTATACTTCTCCCTCACAATTCACTGCTTCTCTTTATCTTTTTTGGAAGTGGAAGTCATCAGTGATTACCACTGTCCAGACCACATTTTGGAGTCCTTGGAGGAAGTGCTGGAGAGTGCTCTTTCCGGTGACTCCCTCGTTCTGCTGGGGGAGTTTAAATCTCATGTGGGCAAAGTGAGACATGCAGAGGTGTGGTTGGGAGGAAATCCCCCCTTATTTGAATCTGAACGGTGTTTTGTTATTGGACTTCTGTGCATGTCATGGAATGTCCATAATGAACACCAAGTTACCTTAGGCCGCAGTACGATGGTCGGGTTTGTTTCATCCAATTCGCAGCCGCGTGTCTTGGACACTCGGGAGAAGAAAGGGGCAGAGCTGTCAACTGACCACTACCTGGTAGTGTGTTGTCTCCATGTCATGTTGTGAGGTAAGCGTCTAACCTACGACATACAGAATCAGTTCGCAGACTACAGTGAAAGTTTTAAACAATTATTTAAAAAGGGAGAAGCCAAGGGAGCAGCATAAATGTAGCTGAGACCTTCAACAGGGTCAGGTGCCGGAATCTGCAGACAGATGGAGGTTAGATCCAGCTCAAAAAGGGCAACAGAGGATTTTAGTGATCTTTTGAGAACTTACAGTCTGAGAGAGGAAATAGCTCGAGGGGGGAAGTTGGTCCGGTCTGAGTCGGAGAAGCTTTCTAGGAGCAGGGATCCAGAGTTGGAGGTGGAGGGAGCTGAGCGTAAGAGGGTGCAGATCCAGGTGAGTATCGGTGGGCTACTGGAGGTAGAATTGGCAAGGGAGGGACTGAGAGACGAGCGGGTGTAGAAGTTCTCCAGAATTCTGCCAGTCAGAGATGGGAGTGGAGGGTTTGTAAACAACAGCAGGAGATCAATAAAGGCAAAAATCCAAAGTCCAAAAATTCAACAAATGCTCAAAGGCTAAAATACTCAAATATCTAATTCTCTAGGTGGCTGTTAGAAGGTACCCAGGTAGAGTAATCATCCAGCGAAGTGATGGCGTCTCTCAGCTGCTTAAATACTCCCTGGCCAGCTGATGAGCTGATGATCTGCAGCTTGGCCACCTCCAGACACGCCCACCTGCAGAAGGAGACTCAAAACCACATAGCAAATGGCAGGAGGAAAAAACCCAGACCGTGACACTCCGATTGTGGGGGAGGATGCCGGTCAGGCCTGGCAGGCCTAAACGTATTGTGAGGGTCTGCTGGGAACATCTGGCAGAGTCCCCTGTCAGAAGGAGCATCGATTTTCACCTCCCACAGAATTTTGAACACGTCCCGAGGGAAATGGGGGACATTGAATCTGAGTGGGCCGTGCTTCCATTGTCGAGGCGACTAACCAGAGTTGTGGCTGCAGGGTCATCGGTGCTTGTCGTGGTGGCAACCCCTGAACCTGCTGGTGGACACCGACAGTTAGGGATGACATCAAGCCGAAGAAAGAGTCCTATCAGTTTTTGTAGGCCTGTGGGACTCCAGAGGCAGCTGATGGGTACCGACAGTCGAAGCGGAATGCAGCTCGGGTGGTCATGGAGGCAAACAAATGGGCGTGGGAGGAGTTCAGTGAGACCATGGAGCAAGACTTGACTTCGAAGAGATTCTGGTCCACCATCCAGCATCTCAGAAGTGGAAAGCAGTGCTCTACTAACACTATTTACAGTGGTGATAGTGCGCTTCTGACCTCTACTTGGGACACGTTGTGGATCAGTGGGCAGAATACCTCCTCAATCCCACTGGCACGTCTTCCAGTGAGGCAGCAGGGTCTGGGGACTTTAGATTGGGCTCTCCAATCTCTGGAACTGAGGTCACTAAGGTGATCTAAAAAAAACTGCCCTGTGGGAAGTTCCTGGAAGTGGATGAGATCCACCCAGAGTTTCTTAAGGCTCTGGATGTCTTTGGGCTGTGATGGTTGACGCGATTGGGGACAGTTCCACTGGACTGGCAGACTGGGGTGGTGGTTCCCCTATTTAAAAAGGGGGACCACAGAGTGTGTTCCAACTACAGAGGGATGAGCCTCCCTGGTAAGGTCTATTCAGGGATTCTGGAGAGGAGGGTACATTGAATTGTCTAACCTCAGATTCAGGAGGAACAATGTGGTTTTCATCCTGGCTGTGGAACACTGGACCAGCTCTATACTCTTACTGGGCAGCAGTAGCTCAACAGGTTGAGCGGGTTGTCCAGTAATCGGAAGGTTGCAGGTTCGATCCCAGCTCCGGACAGAGAATTCTGCTGCTGTGTCCTTGGGCAAGACCACCAGCAGGCAAGACACTTGAACCACCTTGCCTGCTGGTGGTGGTCGGAGGGACCGGTGGCGCCTGTGCTCGGCAGCCTCGCCTCTGTCAGTGTACCCCAGGGCAGCTGTGGCTACATTGTAGCTCATCACCAGTGTGAATGTGAGTGTGAATGGATGATTGATACACTGTAGTGTAAAGCGCTTTGGAGTCCTTACTCTGAGAGGCGCTATACAAGTGCGGGTCATTTAGAGGGATCCTGAAGGGAGCATGGGAGTTTACCCAACCAATCTACATGTGTTTTGCGGATTTGAATAAGGGGTTTGACTCGGGGGGCCCCGTGGGGGTTCTCCGAGAGTATGGGGTACCAGGCCCTCGGATTCGAGTCGCTAAGGCCCTGTATGACAGAGCTTGGTCCGCATTGCCGGCAGTAAGTCTAGCTCATTTCCAGTGAGAACTGGACTCGACCAAATCTGCCCTTTGTCACAGATTCTGTTCATAACTTTTAAGGACAGGATTTCTAGGTGCAGCCAAGGTGTTGAGGGGATCTATTTTGGTGGCCTGAGGATCGGGTCTCTACTTTTATCAGATGATGTGGTCCTGTTGGCTTCATCGGACAGTGATCTTGCTGGAGCGGTTCGCAGCTGAGTGTGAAATGGCTGGGATGAGAATCAGCTCCTTTATATCTGAAACCATGGTCTTGAATGGGAAAAGAGAAAAATGCCATCTCCAAGTCAGGGATGAGGTCCTGCCTCAACTGGAGGAGTTGAAGTCTTTTATACTTGAATTTTTTTTGTTTTTGTGAAGCGCCTCGTGATTTTTATCTTGAGAGGCGCTATATAAAAGACCGTCTTCTTCTTCTTCTTAAGTATCTTGGGGTCTAGTTCACGAGTAAGGAAAAAATGGAGGGTGAGATCAATAGGCGGATCGGTGCTGCATTAACAGAAGCGCTCAATTTACCGGTCGATCTACGTTCCTACCCTCACCTATGGTCACGAGGTTTGGGTAGTGACCGAAAGAACAAGATCGCGGATACAAGTGGCGAAAATGAGTTTTCTCTCCTGGGTGGCTGGGCTCTCCCTTAGAGAAAAGGTGAGAAGCTTGGTCATCCGGGAGGGGCTCGAAGTAGATCTGCTGCTCCTCCACGTCAAGAGGAGCCAGTTGAGGTGGCTTGGGCATCTGGTTAGGATCCCTCCTGGACGCCTCCCTAGTGAATTTTTGTGGGCACTTCCAACTGGGAGGAGACCCAAGGGAAGACCCAGGACACGCTGGAAGGACTATGTCTCTCATCTGGCCAGGGAACACCTTGGGACTCAGCCAGAGGAGCTGGCTCAAGCAGCTGGAAAAGGGAAGTCTGGGTCCCTCTGTTTAGGCTGCTGCCCCCTTTACTCGACTTAGGATAAGTGGCTGAAAATGGATGGATGGATTCCTCTTTGCTTGAACTTGATACTTTTATGTGTTTATGTTGTAAGTTCTTACAAATCAATTGTGCATGTTGCAGATCAGGAAAACAAAGCGTGCATGCATGACTGAAGACTGGGCAGGCACTAAGGGGTTTTAGTAATACATGACAGAAATCAATGTCCAAACCTGAATCTAAACCTAGGTGAGAACTGATTCTAAGTCAGATCACTGATTGTCAAGCTGGCCGCCTTAAACATGCCGCATCATGTGATCTCTCATCAGCCATTACCTCATGTCTGTGACAGCATGCTTGGTGACGTTGGGTGGTGTTATATCCAACAGCTCTGTCATGCTGTTAAAGCTTTGAGTAAATATTATCCTGTTCTGGCGTTCGCCTGTCACCGTCAGTCACACTCAGCCGGGGTGAAAACAGTCGACTTAAATCTCTCAGAGATCTCTTTGGGCCCCACGGGGAGGTGCCACACACTGTCACGTGTGCTGATGAGGTTTATTTTACACAAAACTTAAACAAACAGCTGACACAAAGATGTAGAGTGTGTCTGCAAGTATTTTCCATTAAAGCAAAAGAAAAATCTATATATGGTAAAATGGTAAATGGCCTGTATTTGATATAGCGCCTTCTAGAGTCATGGAACCCCCCAAGGTGCTTTACAACACAATCAGTCATTCACCCATTCACACACTGGTGGGGATGAGCTACGATGTAGCCACAGCTGCCCTGGGGCGCACTGACAGAGGCGAGGCTGCCGAGCGCTGGCGCCACCAGTCCCTCCGACCACCACCAGCAGGCAACGTGGGTTAAGTGTCTTGCCCAAGGACACAACGACAGCCTGAGCGGGACTCGAACCTGCAACCTACCGATTACGGGGCGAGCACTTAACTCCTGTGCCACCGTCGCATCGAGGTTTTGAATTATGTACTTTAATATAAATAATTAATTATTTAGAAATAGTATTAATTGA